TCATTATTTAATGACTGACGAAATTTTAAGGTGGTGCGAACATTTTCCTGCGTTTTCTCTAAACTTTTAAAAAGAATCACAAAACTGTAGAAAAAACGCATGAAAATTATCGCACCACTACGCAACTTCGTGAGCCATTAAAGAATGACAAACCACAAAATCGTTATATTTTTTCACGTCACTCCCATCGATAATTTGCCAGAAAAATGAAAACAACGTCAATTTTGGCTAAAAGGGTGTCGAACATCCTTAAAAGGTGTCGACGAATGGAAAGGAGAAAAGATGGCGGAGGGTAGGGCAAAACGGACCACTGACAGAAAATTGGGGTTTTTTTTATTTTCTTCAAATCCGGAGTACTGAATGTGTTGAATTGAAAGTGAGTTTCTTGCATTGCAAACGTAACAGGGGCTTTGTAGACAAGTGTCGTTGACCCGCTATTTGATCTGATTTGCTAATCACCTCAAACTACAAATGACTTTTAATTTTTTTTGAATTTTTGTTTTTGCTTTCTAAGGAAGTAGAAACAAAAATTGCCAATTTTCTATGAGTGGTTCGTTTTGCCCTAGGGGTCCGTTTTGCCCTACCCTCCCCTAATAAATAAATTTAAAATTTGACATTTGCATGTATAACTTCCCGATGCGAGTTGAAATTTGAAATTGGAAATTCAAAAATTTCTTACGAAACATTTCAATTCTTTCAAATTTCAATTTCCCAAATCTCAATTTAAACACTTCTTTTTTGAAAAACTCAAAAAGGGTTGGGAATACTGACGAGAATAATAATTTTTTATTCGTCTTATAATTCAATTGATTAGATTAGCTCGATTGCACTCTTCTTTTTCCATTTTACTGAATGGAAAACTATTATTTTAACTAGTACTCCCCACAATAAAAAGTTAATAAACAAAGGTTGATAAAAACCGTATTCAATAAAAAAAAATTTAATTTCGCCTCATATTTCATTTTGCCCCCCTCCCCTATTTCAAATAGTATTCCGTCCAGCTCTCTCCCCAGGCCCCAAACAAACTTTTTCAAACAAAATCAAACCTGTAGTCCAGTCCTGGCACTCATCGCAAACCCCAACGCTGCTGACACAAGTCGAGTGGTTGTAGCACCCGCAGTTCGTCCGGCAATCGGGCCCAGTCCACCCGAGATTGCACTCGCATTTATAATCCGGGGCTTCACTGCAGTAACCATTGACACACTTCTCGTAACAGGTCTTCGTGCAGTTCTCTTTGCCATCCCCATGGAACCCTCTCTTGCACTGGCAGCTGTAGCTCCCATGGGTATTCGTGCACTGCGCATCCTTGTGGCAGTCGTGAAGCCCCAGATCGCACTCGTCAACGTCAGGGCACTGGGCGTAAGCCCACCCGACCTGCTCCTCGAAGAGGGTCTCATTGAATTGTTCACTCTGACTCTCATTAATTACAAGACTGCAGTTGACGTGGGCCCGGTTGAAGTCCCCCTGCACACAAACCCCAGTTATGGGGTTCTCCAGAGAGTAACACCAGCCACAGCTGAGGGAATGAAGACAGCTGGTGCAGTTCGAGTGTCGATTGCAAGATTTACACTGATCGTTTCCAGTCAACGACGAGCCAGACCTCGAGGTGACGCCCATGAGTCCCGCCTGGTCCATCCACTCCCTGCAGAGTCCAAACTGGTACTCCGAGGTGTAGACCGAGAAGGAGAAGCACTCCTGTGTGGCCTCGCACCAGACGCACCTCCCTCTCTCGTCCAGGCACTGAGTGCAGTTCGACCGCTGCCTGCAGGGGATGGGACACTCCTCAAGACTCACCACACTGTTGGGGAGTCTCCCCATCCTGGCGCACCTCGCCTCCTCCGTCCACCACTCGCAGAGATTCGTGGAGACACACGACTCGCAGGATATGTAGTTCGAGCAATTCGCGCAGGACGAGGGGGTGATGGTGAGGTAATGCCACTCGTTGATGGGGCTCCCCTCGTCGTCGTAGTCGATCGTCACCGAGCAGCTCTCCGTCTCGTTCGTCGATCTAGACAGACAACTGTTGCTGACGTCGCACCAGCCACAGGACGAGTCCGTCAAGCAGTGCAAGCAATTCTTGTACTGATCGCACGAGCCATTCTGGTAGGGCTCGAGGTACTCGAACGTGAAGACCTTGGCGTTGTCCCCCTTCCTGTTGTGAGTGATCTCCATTTTCGAGGGGTAGGCGTAGTTAGCTGTGACCATTCTCTTCGACTCGAAGTCCAGGAGGTACCTCCCAGGCTCCAGGTTCATGTAACTCCCATCAGACCACTTTGTCGAGATGCATTGGGATGTGTCAGCGGTCAAGTTCGCCACGAGTTCGAGGTCAGTTGAGCCGTTGTGTCGGGAGACCCTGAGGGTAGCGCTGTTGTAGCTCACGCAGATTTTCAGCTGCTCAGCTGAGCTCAGCCAGTACTCCTGGGGGGGCCTGAGAAATCCAGTGAGTCGGGCTATCATTTCCCCACCGAGGGCCGACTCAGTCTTCGCCCCCTGCATCGATGGGACGTTAAAGTCGATCGTCGTGGCGTTTACTATTGTCACTGAGTCGGGCTGAGTGAAGTTGACAGGTGGCTTGTACTTGAGGAATGTTAGCCCCGGCCTCTTATCCATCTCCCTGCACTCCTCGACTCTCGTTATCTCGGTTCCTTTGCTCCCCCACCACGCGGGAATCCTGGACAACGTGTCGTCCCTGGAGCCACAGACCCCATAGTTATCGTTCTTATGGTGGCAGCGAGCGTTCTGCACACACCAAGTGCAAGTGCCCAAATTAAGTTTATTCGAGATTGAGCTCTTCCCCTTCGAGTTTGTGCCCCAGCCCCCACCGGGCTGACCGTGAATCAAGCAGGAGTGGCAGTCCCCGAGGACTGGGCACACCCCAGGACACCTCGAAGTCTGTAAATTAGTCGTGCAGTTACTCCCAATTGTCCTGCCATAGCAGATTTCGTCGGCTGAGCACCAGCCGCACTCGGGATTTGCTGAGCACTCGGTGAAGCTCTTGTGCTTGGGGCACAGCTGCTCGGGCTCGACGTAATCCCCGTCGCCAGGTGCCAGCATTGGGGGCAGAGTATAAGCCAGAAGATCAGCGTTTACGTTTCCGTGGTAGCCACCAACGAGCAGAAGAGTGTTTCCATTCCTGGCGTCGGCAGCGTGAGCGAAGACCCCCTGCTGCTTGGGGTATCCCGAGTCCTTGTCGCTGACCCCCAGGACCTCGTGGCTCACCCAGACGTGGCACCCTAGGTTGTAAAGGTACATCTGATTGTCGTAGCAGATCTCCTCCTTGTTGTGGCGGTGGGAGTAACCCCCGAAGACAACCAGGTAATTCCCGATGATGTTGCAGGTGTGGAATGCCCTCTCCCTGGGGACGTAGATGTCTGGGAGGTGCTCCCTCGGGTAGTGGATCTCAGACCAGACCTTTCGGTCCAGCTGGAACACGAACATTCGATCTGACAACTTGCTGAACCTCGCAACGCTGGCCACCACTCCCCCGTAGACGAGGAGGGAGTTCGTTGCTTTGTGGTAGACTGTGCAGTGAGCAACGACTCTGACGTCTAGCTCTTTTCCTCCTCTCGGGCGAACTCTCCTCCATTTTTCGGAGGACGAGTTGGCGTCTGTCAGGTCCAGCTTTATGCTGAAGAGACTCGAGGAGAACTCCCCGTCCACTGTGCTACCACCGAACAGGTAGACTCGGTCTCCTGAGAGGGTCAGGGTGTGCCTGGTGAGGTGGGGTGGGTAAAAGTCGGAGTTTTTGGCGCGGAGGGTCCAGGTCTTGGTGTCGACGTTGTAGTGCCAGAGCTCGTTGGAGAGGGAACCGTCAGCCAACTTTCCCCCGTAGATTACGAAGCCCCTGGAGTATCTGCAGGCTGCGTGACCGTATCTGGGGCTCGGTTTCAGGGTTTCGTTTGAGGTTGAGTTGGTGGGGCTGATGGATTCCGAGGTGAAGATCATTTCGGTGGTGGAGTTCGTGTCGATTATCTGCTGGACGAACTCCGATTGCGTGGGGAGGGCCTTGTCGAGGAAGAAGGGGAGCTCCTCGGTGTCTCTGGGGGCTCTGAAGAGGGATCTTATGAGGCGGGAGTGCCTTCGACGATTGTCCTCGGCCTCTCGGGCCTCCTGGGCTTTGCGCTCGCGCTCGCGGTGCTCTGGCGTGTTTCGCAGCTCACGCCAACCGTGCTGCGTTGTGTCCATGGTCGCGCGGTCACGCAGGCTCAGGGTCCCGTTGCCCTTTATGTTGTAGAGGAGCTTCCAGACGAAGGACGAGGAGGAGAGACCGTATTTCTCCTCCGGGCCTGAGCCGATTCGCTCGAGCTCACTCGCTATCAGCATCGGATCTAGGGATTCAGCAGCAGATGCACCTTCTGGGGGGAGAAATTCAGAAATTTGTTGTGGTTTTTTTGGGAAGAGCTGATTGGTTCTCACAGGAACAAATTTCATCGACCAACCTGACGAATTCGATGGAAAAAACTATTGGATTTCTGCTGAGAATTCTATCTGTTTTTGGGTGATTCTATTGCAGAAATCTGAAGCTTTATTGCGGCTTTTTTTATAGAAAATGTTAAATAAAAATTATTTTTTTGAAAAACTCAGCAAAATTCATTTTTATATTGAAAGACTTTCTATGAAAATTCCTTCACATTTTCCTCACGCCACCATCAACATTTCATTACAATAAAAATTCATTCATTTAATTCATTTAATTCATTTTTATTTCATTTAATTTAATTTTCATTTTTCTAACGTTTGTCCACTGAATTTTTTTTCATTTCGTCAAACAAATAAACTGGGAAAATTTGAGCAGAGAAATTTTCTATAGAAAATATCTCAACAGAATAAATTGTATGGAAAATGGAATTCTCTTGAGTTTTGCTATAGAATATTTCTTATTGAACATATCTATCAGAAAAACAACGCTCAGATAAGCTGCGGAATTTCTCAATAGAATCAACCACAAATTAATAAATAGTTTAATAGAAATGGAATAGGATTTTCTAATGAATGCAGTAGGTTTTTTTATATTTTTTTTTTTGCATACAGTTTCGAGTTTTTCGATTTTTTCAATTTTGCTAATTTTCTACGAAAAAAAATCTCAGAATGAATTTCACTCAACAGTATGCTAGAAATTTCTAAATAGTAACAAATTAGTTTTTCTTTCTCGGATATAATTAAATAAAGGACAGAGGAAGACTTACATTAGCTTCATCTCATGCGAGCGTCGGTAAAATTAAAAAAATTATACAACATTTGAAAAAATATTTGTAACAAATAATTCAGCACTAAAGTAGTAAAGTGGTTCGAGATGTCTAAAATAATTTAATGACGTAATTAAAAAAATAGTAAGAATGGGAATGCAATCTGAATTTTCCCTATTAAAATTCTAGTCATGATATATTGTTTGGTTCTTTAATTATCGCGAAAATGATTGATTGAAGAAAGCATCAAGTATCTTCTTCTGGAGCTGAAGTAATCTACAAGAAAATTTATCAATGTTATTTGCTAAAATTCATAATCACTTGGGTATTTTTCCAATCAACATCAGAAAATACATTCACCACAACCATTTTACCCCTTCATGCTTCAAAGAAAGCAGCTATTTATTCACCCAAAAAATAATATTTTATTTCAAGATTTCAAAGCTCTTAAAATAATTAATAATTATTTTGAAATATCAAAGCTCTTCAAATTATCATTAATTATTGAAAAATTTCAAAGCTCTTAAAATAAGATTGAGCAAAATCTTAATTAAGGCTCGAAACTTTCAAGTTGAGAGTTTCACAAGACTCAATTTAAATTTTGGAAAGTTTCAAGTTGAGGCTTTGGAAGATTTGAATTTGAAACTTAAACTCTCGAATTGAGATTTTCATAGACTCAAGTTGATACTTTTGAATGCCTCGACTTGAAATTTTTCTCTAAAGGGAGTTCTGAAAGTCTCTGCTTCAAACTTTTGAAAATCTCATTTTCGGACTTCTGGAAGGTTCAACTTGAGACTGCTAAGTCTAAAATGGAAATCATAAGTCCGAAAATAACGCTTGTTTTTTTTTAATGTTGAAACTCGAATTCAAAACGAAGTTTACCTAATACACTTCCATGTTCATCCTCCCACTGACTCGTGTTAAACCTGTAGACTTCCAAATCCCCGAGAACATAATTGAGATCGTATCCTCCAAAAACATAGAGAGAATCAGTTTCACCGTCGTAAACGGCTGAATGAGCTGCTCGAGGTGTCATACCTCCTTCAGAATGCGACAACCAATGCCACCTAAATAATTCAAGCAATTGCAATTATAATTATAATTATAAGTTCTTTTATAAGATTTTTTGGGCATGAATTTTCCAACTTAATCTTTAATTTAAGAATGAAAAACAAAACAGAATTTAAAAAAAAAGGTAACGATAAAATTAGAGATAAAATTGAAGAAAGAAAGCAGAATATAGAGAACAAATATGGGACAATTTATCCGTCAGAATTTCTGGAGAATAAATCTCATGAAAATAAATCCTTTGAAAAAAAATTAAAATTCATAGACTTTCTTTTAAAAATTTAGATATTTCTTTTTAAATATCTAAAAAATATTCCTCTAAAAACGAATAGCATTTTCGAAAGAATTTGGATAGAATAAATAAATAAATTTAATCACCAAGATAACGTGATAATTTCAATATTTTCATGAATTTCTTACTTATTGCCCTCTGGATGGACTGAGTGGAGCGAACAAGATTGTCCCGAGAATCCTTTTCTACATTGGCATCTTTTAATTCCGCAGGTACCACCTTGGCCACAACTGTTTGGGCAGAGAGCCCTTGAGCAATCTTTTCCACCCCAATCATTTTCACAAACGCACGTGTTATTGATGCATTTTCCATGCCTTGTACAATTGTTCGGGCAGTCAGTCACTGAAAATTCGGCGTGGAAACCATCAAGGACGTAATTTGTATCACTATATAATAATATCAACATCTGGAAAATAAAGAATTATTTATTTGTTTTTATTTGCACGGAATCATTAATTTTTTTAATGTACAGTGAACAAATTTTATAGAAAACTTGGAAAATTTGAGAAAGAATAAGTTGCAGGGATACCCATATTCATAAACCATAATTACCGTTAAATTTTAAGGCCGTCAATGAGTTAACATCACTCTTAAATTTTTAATTATTCAAATAATCATCAATTTGAATAGACAAATTCTGAATTATTTTATCAATGGAAAATTTACAGTTCCATATTATCAAATATTTAATTCATCATCAATCCTAAATTTAAATTATTAATCTTATGCTATTGTTAAATTTTGATGAATATATTTAAACCTTTATTAATGGAAGTCGGAAATTCTTTTAATATTAAAGAAATGTAATATTCATGGCCATGGAGTTTTTCTATAAAATTTTTATTAAACATTTCAATCGAATCAGGCAAAAACTAATAAAAAGTTCAATAGAAATCCAATAGAATTGTCTAGAGGATTCCTCAGGTTTTTCTATGAATTTTTTTCGTGCGCTTCTTTGCCCTCAGATCCCGATAAAAGTGGAATTCGGAATAGAAATGAAAAATAGTGAAGTGTCATCCACGATGAACGACAGAATTTGCATAACCGGAATGATTATCTGCGGCAGAGCCACTGTACCTGTCACTCTGGGCAAAGTATTCGACTTTGAAGCGAGAGTATAATTGCAATGTACTCACGTAACCAGACGACGAGGTAACTTGTTGCGGCTCAGTTTTGCCACTAAAACTGCCCAGCAGTGGTGAACGAAACGAATCACCGTCGTAAACAAATACATAATCGTAGCTGCATTCAGTTCCCATTGTTCTGAAGCTCAGGGTTATGAATTGTTGGCTGTTGTTTGCTGGAAATAATGGACGAGTCGTGAAAGAATAATAAATTCAAAGTGGAATATTGCTTTTGCATTCACATAGCGTTGTTTTTTTTTGCTAATAAATTAGCAATATATTTCCGAATGGTCACTTTGCACATCATTTTGTTCCATCGTACATCATTCTTCGGTTGAGATTATTTTGTTAAATTCAGTTATATTTCTTCTTTAGTTAATTGTGTTAAATTTCCTGTGAACATTATTTTATAAATTAAGATTAGAATTTTGTAAGCCAACATTCAATGAGTTCAGAACATTCTTTTAAGTTATCGTGGAACAATCAAATTCATAAAAGATTTGAAAATTTGAAAAATTAATGTATGAATGGGAAAAAATTAATATATGAGTGGAAATTTCAATTAATGTCGATAGATAGGGCTCAACAATACCTCCATTTGGAAAAAAATATTAAATTCCATCGGTTCATTAACAAATAATTGAAGAAAAAATTTGTCACATATGTAAATACATACAAATAGGCTGTAAAAATTGAATTTTCGGAGTATTTGAATAAAAATGTGTAGATTTTTCCTAATAAATTAGCAATACATCGAATGGCCATTTTCCGCATCACTTTGTTCTATCGTATATCATTCGTCGTTTGAGATTATTTTGTTAAATTAACTTATTTTTCTTCTTTAGTTAATTGTGTTGGATTTCTTGTAAACATTCTTTTATAACTTGACATTAGGAGAATTTTTTAAGCCAACATTCAATGAATTCAGAACATTTTTTAAAGTTATCGTGGGACAATCGATTTTCAAAAAAATTTGAAGATTTTTAAAATTAATATATGAATGGAAATTTCAATTAACGACGATGAATAGAGCTCAACAATATCTTCAGCAATATCAGCTCTGGAAATTGCCATTTCATTTAAAATTTCATGGAAATCAATAAATTTTTATTTATTCATCTATTTTATATTCTGCATCAGTGGAAATTTTTCATTTGGCTGGCCTCAATTAATTTTCAATCTGTGATAAGTTTATTCTTTCATTCTTTTTTGAGAAATCCAGTACTAATTGTGTATTATGAATGCAAAAAAGACCTGTTCAACTTCAATGATCGGTCTTCAGTACTTCAACGCATGCACAAATAACTCTTAGGAAAAAAACAGAGAGAATAATAGCGGTGAAGTTTTTTTCAAGAATTCCTGGATATTCTCATCGTCTCGATGAATTTTATAGTCGTGGATATTTTAGCATAAGGCAATTCGAATCTATTGAGTAGTTTTGGAGAAATTCAAGCTCGATTTCTGAGGAATTGCTGTGCCTATGACAAAAATTCATGAAATGTAAAAGTATAAATATAATCTAAACAAATATTTATAAGTTGTCGCTACCCAACATCAAAAACGGGAGAAGTAGGGAGGCAAGACGAGTTCCTGAAAAATGACTGGTCATTTTAAGAGAATAACGGATTTCCGATGCTTTATTCCATATTAGCTCTCACTTCGATGTACAAAAAAATCCTTCTGATTAAATGTAATTCCTCAATATTCACTGTTAATAAATTTTAGCTGATATTTTCAAACAAGTGATAATTCCACTGGAATTTTTAAGAATTTCGTCTTTGAAAATTCATGATTTAATAAAAAAAATCAATAAAAACTGTCAATTTCAGTTTAATTATTCCACGAAAGTAATTAGAAATAAAAAAAATTCCGGAAAATATTTTGAAGTGTTAATTAATTATAGTATCATCATAATTTGTTTAAAAAAATCTATATTTTGATTGAAAATTCGAGTAGATTAGTGAATTTTTGTCTTTCTGCTGTTCAAAAATTAATTCCATTGAATTTTTAGTGAAATTTGAAATTTTTTTCCATAGAATTTAGGTTTGACAGTGGATATTCACCTCATGCGACAGTTCCACTGGAATTTCCAGAAAATTCGTACTTAAAAATTTACATTTGATGACAAAACCAATGGAAATTGTCAATTTCAGTTGAACTATTTCGTGAAAATGAATAAAAACTACAAATGTTCAGGTAAATACTTTTGAATTGTTAATTAATTGGAAGCTCATCGTAATTTGGTACTTTTTTTATTCAATAATTCTAAAAATCAATATACGAATTAAATTTTAACCAATGTCGAATGATAGAGCTCAACAATACCCTGGAAACTCAATTGAAGTATTCTACGAGAATGGATGGAAATTAGAAAAATTCAGGTAAATATTCTTGAACGGATAATTAATTGGAAGCTCATCGTAATGTAGCAATGAATGTCCATATTTTGATTGAAAGTTCTAATTCAATTCTAAAAACTAACATACAGAAATATATTATAATTCTAAAAAATTCAAAAATGTAATATATGAATTAAATTAAATAAGAATTAAATAAGAAACTCGGTCACATACGTTGATACGGCCCGCCGGGGCCTGAAAATTACATTCTCGAAATTGTTCGATCATAATGACTATAAAATCAACAGAAAAAAAAAATTGATCAATTGAGCTCAGTTTAGGCTCGTCCCAAAGGGAAAAAAGTGTTCTCTGCATTGAAAAAAAAATTATGAAATTTAATCAACACTTCAACCCCTCATTAAATTTTTTTAATAATTCAAGTGCCCGTTTTACCCCAACCTCCCCTATACTATACTCAATCCAAGCGCAATTTCCCACTTGTTATTAAATTCTAATAAAAAAAACCAAATTTAAATGTGACTAGCAACAAGCTTCCACTCGAGAGCAAAACCCTTACCTTTAATCAACCATTCGCAATGAGAATCCTGAGTGTAATTGGATCCCATGGGGCCGTCACTGATCATCCCCCAGGTGTCAGTAAATACCTTTCTAGTCTTGTCACATGGCACTTGCTTCGGCGTGACCTGGGGGACCAGCTCCAGGCCCCACATCAGGCACGTCCACATGACGAACCATATAGACGTTATTTCTAGCCACCCCATCGCATAATATCAACCTCAGTCCTCGTTAATCCTCGTTAATCCGCGTATCCTCATCATCCAACTTCATTGATAATTCCTCTCTCATTCACCTGTAAATTCAGAATAAATGGCCAAGGTCTTGCGGACGAAGCTCTTCTCAAATAACCGGGCAAACAGTTTATTTGCAATAAATCTGGAGCGAGATTCAGTCACACCTACCAGCTTTCAGTGACAAGGCCAACTTGTAAACATTGAACAAGTATTGATCGATGATTACCTCTGCTTTAACATTCTCAGGTGAATATAAATTAACAACACATCTCCGTCACTCGATTTATCGTCACTGCACTAGTAACTGTTTTTATTGTTTAAACGACTGTGTTGTTGTGTGGATATTGGAGTTGTATATAACCAATAATAGCTCTGGGGCACACAATAGGGGAATGTGTGTATGTATACGGTGATTTTGGGTACGCGACTGTATGATGAACGGTTCTCTAGGTCTTTCTCGTCTCCCGGGATTTGCCGAGTGCGAAGAATGTTGGTACACTCGGCTTTCGGGGGATTGTAGGCGGCGCTCCGGGACGAACCGCCGAGAAAACTGGAAATGTTGATAAGAATATGTTTGTTTGCGCGGAAAAATACTTGCGCAATGACAATTATCAGAAATTAAATATTTCATTTTTTTATCGGTTAGGTCTGACGCTTTGAGGGATTCGGAATGAGTTCTTGTGGTGGAGTTATGAAGACATATGTTGAGTTGGAAATTTTGTCAGGGTTTGTTTCGCGAATATTTTCGGAGAGAAGGGTCCTGGGAGAATTTGTTACTTATGGTTTTTTGTAGCTCTTGAAATTTTGGGTAAAAAAGACCTTTTGATGAATTTTGGTAAACGCGTTCACTCCGGAAATATTTGCGAAATAATGCGCGAGAAGATTTACATCTCTTCGTAACTGGGATTCAAATGTTTAAAATATTTTTAGAATATTTGGAGGAATTTTCAGGATGAAGTTGCGTGGAAAAATTGTGGACTATTCAATTATCATTTATTAAATATTTCTTTTTTTTTATCATTTATGTCTGACGCTTTGAGGGATTCGGAATGAGTTCTTGTGGTGGAGTTATGAAGACATATGTTGAGTTGGAAATTTTGTCAGGGTTTGTTTCGCGAATATTTTCGGAGAGAAGGGTCCTGGGAGAATTTGTTACTTATGGTTTTTTGTAGCTCTTGAAATTTTGGGTAAAAAAGACCTTTTGATGAATTTTGGTAAACGCGTTCACTCCGGAAATATTTGCGAAATAATGCGCGAGAAGATTTACATCTCTTCGTAACTGGGATTCAAATGTTTACAATATTTTTAGAATATTTGGAGGAATTTTCAGGATGAAGTTGCGTGGAAAAATTGTGGACTATTCAATTATCATTTATTAAATATTTCTTTTTTTTTATCATTTATGTCTGACGCTTTGAGGGATTCGGAATGAGTTCTTGTGGTGGAGTTATGAAGACATATGTTGAGTTGGAAATTTTGTCAGGGTTTGTTTCGCGAATATTTTCGGAGTGAAGGGTTCTGGGAGAATTTGTTACTTATAGTTTTTTGTAGCTCTTGAAATTTTAGGTAAAAAAGATATTTTGATGAATTTTGGTAAACGCGTTCACTCCGGAAATACTTGCGAAATAATGCGCGAGTAGATTTACATTTCTTCGCAAATAGGATTCCAATGTCTACAATATTGTAAAAATATTTTTAGTAATTTTGCAGTTGAAATTACCTTAAAAACTGATGGAACATTCAATTATCATTTATTACATATTTCACATTTTTTATCATTTACGTCTGTGGTTTTCACGGATTCTTATGGTGGAGTGATGAAGACAGATGTTGTGTTCAAAATTCCGTCGCGGTTTATTTCGCGAATAGTTTCGGAGTGAAGGGTTTTAACAGAATTTATCAAAAGAAATTTTTTGTAGCTCTTGAAATTTTGGATAAAAAAGCTTTTTTGATAACTTTCGTTAAACCCTGTCACTCCGACAATATTTTCAAAATAATGCGTGAAGAATTTTAATCCGTTCCATAATTGATTTTCAATTAGAAAAATACTTCAAAATTTCCTGCGAGTTTACGAAATTTTCGGACAATATTCAACAATAGGGGAGGTTGGGGTAAAACGGACACTTTTGACTTTTATTGAAATGTTAATAAAGGGTTGAAATGTTGATAATTTTTTTTCAATACAAAGAACAATTCTTTCCCTTTGTGACGAGCCTAAACTGAGCTCAATTGATCAATTTATTTCTGAGTTATGAATAATTTTAAAAAAAGTCTAAAGTGTCCGTTTTACCCCACCCTCCCCTATATCACATGAAAATCGCTCTTTGCAATCACTAGAATTGGGTTTTCCTCTGCATCTAGAATGAGATAAATTATAATACAAATTTTCTCAAAAAAAAAACAAAATTTATTCTTTGCGTAAATAAATGCTTCCTTTTCCATTATTATTTTCACCCGCCGTAAAAAAATTATCACTCAAATCCGAAATTTATCACCCCATGAAATTCCCGAAAGAAGAATATCTCCTCCAAACAAAATAATTTCGTTTTCTATAAAAGATTCTATTTAATGTTTTCAAATAAAATTTTCGCGTGCATTCAATCCCCATAATTTGATCGGTAAAACCAGTGATTATATAATCCACTCAATACGGGACTGCTCCAACGATTACTCCCCCCTCAACTTTCCAAATAAACAAAAAAATAATCTTAAAAATTTCGTTCACCGATTTCCGTTCCCTCTACGAACAAAAATATTATGAATAATCGCGGCGACTGCGCTCGTGCCCCCCATCCTGTCAAAATCAGCTGATCAAGCCAGTAGTGAGCACCGCTGCTCCCCTATCGAGCGTTCTTCTTACAAGATGATAATAAATAACAACGGAAACACTCGAAACCTGAAATTTTTAATAGAAAACATCTTTTAATAAATTAAAATCCCTCATAACTGGATTTCAATTAGAAAATTACTTCAAATTCCTTTATTCTACTGAACATTATTGTCCACCAACATTGACATTTCTTCTGAGTTTACATTTTCAGAAAATATTAACAATACCTCAAATAAAAATCGATCTTCCCAATCACCAGAATTTGTTTTTTCGCGAAATAATTTCGTTTTCCCTAAAAAATAATACCAAATCGCACCGATACTTCTCTGACCATTCAATTTTTTTCAAATGACATTTTCCGCGGGCATTCAATTCTCATGATCTGATTGGTACACCAGTGATTACATAACACAGTCAACACGAAACTACTCCAACAATAATTCCCCCTCAACTTTCCAAATAAACAAAAAAAAACCTAAAGAAATCTTCAAAATTTCGTTCACCGGAAATGAAAAATAAATATTATGAATAATCGCGGCAACTGCGCTCGTGCCCCCCATCCTGTCAAAATCAGCTGATCAAGCCAGTAGTGAGCATCGCTGTTCCCCTATCGAGCGTTCGACCACACGAGTGTCAAAATAAACCCGCGTGAATGCGAAAAACCCGTCGCACCCCCGCAAAAAATCAAAATCCCGCAGAAAATCGAGAGCCACCGAAGGGCAATTTCCTCGAATAAGCGGGTAATTTCCATCATTAAAAGCCAAAGCTGCAGGAGCAGATGCCGGAAAATCTACGCCGAGGCTCCCAGCGTTCAATATGGCTGCGGAAATCAATAATGAGAGTAGCTCATCAGAGGATAGAAGAGCATTCGACACAACTCCGTTGAATATACGTCTGTACATATGTCTCAAGTATCAATTCAAAGTATCAAATTATTGAGACAACTAATATATCTTTTTGATTCACCGTATTTGAACGAGTATAGAGAGTGAAATAGACAAATTATCGATAGCAAAACCGAGTGATGATGAATGAAATGACAGAGCAGAAAGCCAGAGTAAATTTTCGTAATTAGAATTATTGTTTGAAACCAACAAGAGTTCGATCTAGAGTAATGACGGATGGATCTCACGGGGAGGAGTGAACAAAACACCGAGTAATATCATATATTTTTAAAATATAAAACGTAATTAATATAGTAATAACGAGAAACGTCGATTGAGGAGAGTATTTAATGTCCATTTACTATGGACTTATTTCTGATGCTCATTCTGGCTGTGATTACATTTATTTGCGGTGTAATATGCACTCTGGTCGTGGAATTTTATATACTGAAGATTTACGTGGAGTTGGCACCACCGGCGCAACCACCGGGGAAACCTCCGCCGCATGGGAAGGCCGAGTTACCTGAGGAGCTGGTCAAGGATATCAATAAGGAGAGACAGCATCCCAGTAGGCAGAATTTACAGGGAAATGAGAATTTAGCGATTAATCTGACACTTCAGTTTCTGTTCAATGAGCTGAGGAATGCTGAGCGGGTCAGACTGTGGATGTATAGGAAGTTGAATAATGAGTTTAAGGAGCTGCTCACGCAAACTACTACTGGTCGGCTCTTTGATAGTGTTCAGGTAATTGTGGCCGGGATGGCCAAATCTATAGAATATTAATATCGTTACCGTTTAATATTGTAGACGTCAATTAGTCAATATCACTCTGAAGGCTTTAGTTGTTTGAGAATCATGAATTTGAGTATTCAAATTTTTAACTGTTTTATTAATCAATAATTTCACTCTTAATGTCTTTAATTATTTAAGTATCACCGATTTAAGCATTCAAATTTTTAATTATTTTGTTAATCAATTATTTCTATATTAATGTTTCACTCTTAATTTTTTAAATATTTAAGGATCATTAATTTAAATATTCAAATTTTTAACTGTTTTGTTAATCAAAAATTTCATTCTTAGAGTTTTTAATTATTTAAGTAGGGGAGGGCGGGGTAAAACGGACACTTTTGACTTTTGTAAAAATATTCATGGCGTGTTGAATTGTTCATGAAATGAAATGATTTTATTTTTCAATTGAAAAACAATGATTCCTCTTTGTGATGAGCTCAGACTGAGCTCAATTGATAAATCTGTTTCTGAGTTATGAATATTTTTAAAAAAGTCAAAAGTGTTCATTTTACAATACCCTCCCCTGTCATTAATTTAAATATTTAAATATTCAAATTTTGTACTATTTTATTAATCAATAATTTCTATATTAATGTTTCACTCTTAATTTTTTAAATATTTAAGGATCATTAATTTAAATATTCAAATTTTTAACTGTTTTGTTAATCAAAAATTTCATTCTTAGAGTTTTTAATTATTTAAGGAGGGGAGGGCGGGGTAAAACGGACACTTTTGCCTTTTTTTAAAATATTCATGGCGTGTTGAATTGTTCATGAAATGAAATGATTTTATTTTTCAATTGAAAAACAATGATTCCTCTTTGTGATGAGCTCAGACTGAGCTCAATTGATAAATCTGTTTCTGAGTTATGAATATTTTTAAAAAAGTCAAAAGTGTTCATTTTACAATACCCTCCCCTGTCATTAATTTAAATATTTAAATATTCAAATTTTGTACTATTTTATTAATCAATAATTTCTATATTAATGTTTCACTCTTAATTTTTTAAATATTTAAGGATCATTAATTTAAATATTCAAATTTTTAACTGTTTTGTTAATCAAAAATTTCATTCTTAGAGTTTTTAATTATTTAAGGAGGGGAGGGCGGGGTAAAACGGACACTTTTGCCTTTTTTTTAAATATTCATGGCGTGTTGAATTGTTCATGAAATGAAATGATTTTATTTTTCAATTGAAAAACAATGATTCCTCTTTGTGATGAGCTCAGACTGAGCTCAATTGATAAATCTGTTTCTGAGTTATGAATATTTTTAAAAAAGTCAAAAGTGTTCATTTTACAATACCCTCCCCTGTCATCAATTTAACTATTCAAATTTTCAATTATTTTATCAATCAATAATTTCTTAAATCTTAAAGTTTCACTCTTAAAGCTTTTAGTTAAATATTTAAATATTCAAATTTTCAACTATTTTATTAATCAATAATTTCTATATTAATGTTTCACTCTTAATTTTTTAAATATTTAAGGATCATTAATTTAAATATTCAAATTTTTAACTGTTTTGTTAATCAAAAATTTCATTCTTAGAGTTTTTAATTATTTAAGGAGGGGAGGGCGGGGTAAAACGGACACTTTTGCCTTTTTTTTAAATATTCATGGCGTGTTGAATTGTTCATGAAATGAAATGATTTTATTTTTCAATTGAAAAACAATGATTCCTCTTTGTGATGAGCTCAGACTGAGCTCAATTGATAAATCTGTTTCTGAGTTATGAATATTTTTAAAAAAGTCAAAAGTGTCCATTTTACCCTACCCTCCCCTATCATCAATTTAAATATTCAAATTTTCAATTATTATTTTATTAGTCAATAATTTCTTAAATCTTAAAGTTTCACTCTTAAAGTTTTTAGTTAAATATTTAAATATTCAAATTTTCAACTATTTTATTCATCAATAATTCCACTCTTTTTATGTTTTTAATGATTCAAGTATCACCGATTTAAATATTCAAATTTTTAATTATTTTGTTAATCAATAATTTCTATATTGCTGTTTCACTCTTAATATTTTTAATTATTTAAATATCATCAATTTAAATATTCAAATTTTTAACTACCTCATTAATCAATAATTGAAGTAGAAATATTGATGATTTTTTGCGTAATCAAAAATCCCTTTTTAATAGATTAGAATTATGCAGTTAATGGGAAATTTACAGTTCCATATTATCAAATATTTAATTTAATCATCACTTACCGGAAAAATTAGATTATTAGTATTATGCTATTTCTAAAATTTGATCAGAATATTTTAAACCTTTATTAATAATTTATTAGTAAGGGTCAGGCCTGGAAAAATTCAGCCGAGGAATTTCATTCATTTTGAGAACTCTGTCGTTTTTCACTCAATGTAAAAACTCCTCATCTTTAATGAACTTATTTTTTAGTAATAATGAATGTTATTCCAGTTACGTGATTTAGACCTTGGTACCCAGTTTCCTATGATCAAGGGTCTCGAAGTGGCTGATTCTTTCATAAATCGAGACACTGGATTACTTGAGACCCTCGATCTCTCGTTGGATCTCCATTACTCCGGTAATTTTCAACTGTCCATAGACGTGAAAATGTTGCTTGGAAAGACTGCCTACTTATCACTTCAGGGTAATTAATCCACTCGTAATTGTCCTAATTCAGCACTGAAGCGATAAAACGGTTCAAATCGATTGGCCTCAGCCGAGTTTTTGGGGAATATCTTCGAATCTAAGGGAGATAACGAAATTTTCGTCATGACCTTTTTTGTAGAGCGAATCAAGCCCTACAAAAAAGGTTATAACAAAAAATTTGCCATCTCTCCTAGATTCCGAGATATTCATTGAAAACTGGCGAGTAGTCAAAATTGACTTGAATCGTTTTACCACTTCGCTGCGGAATTTTAATGGGATTTTGCTTTATTATTCATTTTTACAGTTAAAAGAGTCAGTGGAAGGGCCAGACTTCAGTTTACCCGAATTCCGTACACTCACTGGTCCCTGAGTTTCTACTCCGATCCAATCCTCGAACTGGAGGTGCAATCTCAGTTTCAGGGACGTCAATTGCAGCCCCAGATAGTATCTCTCATTACGGGTCAAATTAGACGGGCAATTAGAAGGAAACACACCTTACCAAGATACAAAATGCGGTACAAACCATTCTTCCGACGATTGAACGATGAGGACATTGATTTATCGGAGGTAATTCATGAAATCTGCAGCACTAAACATGAAGTTATAATATTTTTACTGAATATGGAAATATCTTTTTACTCATAATTTCAATAATTTTGTAATATTTTCACTAATTATGGAAATATAATTTTGAAAATATCTCGGGAAATGTTTAGAGAGAAATGATGAACGATCTTTCTCATAAATCTTTAAACTTTTTGCAAAAAAGTCTTGATAGTTTCCTTGTCAGTCGCTAATTGCAAAGATAATTAAATTATTGAGATGATGAAATGACTTGTGCGTCGTCTGCGTTAAACAATCATCATTTTGAACATGAGGGCTTTCAGGAGGGAATGTCAAGAGATTTGTTTGTTAACATTTTCTGCAAAAAAGTCTTCATTTTTTATCGAATTTTGCTAGATTTGTTTTTCTATAGAAACTGTTCGGGACAAATTTCCTCAAATCTTCAGCTTAATTTTTTTCTCATTACAAAAGCCAGTAAAAAAACGTAAACAATCCATGCTCAAAAATCATATAAAAATACCGTACAGAGAAATCCACATCTATCAACTTTTCTCAATAAAATACAATTAATCATTTACAAAAACGGCGAAAACCCAATAGAATTCTTCGAAGCTTACAATTACTTTTAACAGAATTTCAATAGAACTCCAATGCAACTCTATAGAAAATTCTTTTGGAAACTACATTTAGAAATCATTTTATTTTTCTTTTTTCCTATTAAGAATATGAATCAAGAAAACTTGGAAAATTTGAGACGAGAAAAATCTATAGAAAATAGCTCAATAGAATAAGTTGCATAGAGAAATCACATTCCATTGACTTTTTCTGTAGAATACTTTGTATTGAACATTTCAATAGAATCGGTCATACACTAGTAGAAAATTCAATAAAAATCTTTCTCATACGTGAGCTTTATTTGAGACTTATGATCTGAAATTGAGACTTTTCAAAGTCTCTACTTGAGATTTTTAAATGTCTCAAGTTAAAACTTTCAAGTCTCAAATTGAGACTTTTGAAATTCTCAACTGAAGACGTTCAGACTTCAAATTAAGACTTGAAAATCTTACTTTGAAACGTTTAACAACTTAAAATAATGTCTTATTTTTTCGTTGTATGGAATTGTAATCACAATTACTTTCAACAGAATTTCAATAGAACTCCAATGCAACTCTATAGAAAATTCTTTTGGAAACTAGATTTAGAAATCATTCTATTTTTCTTTTTTCCTATCAAGCATATGAATCAAGAAAACTTGGAAAATTTGCGACGAGAAAAATCTATAGAAAATAGCTCAATAGAATAAGTTGCATAGAGAAATCACCTTCCATTGACTTTTTCTGTAGAATACTTTGTATTGAACATTTCAATAGAATCGGTCATACACTAGTAGAAAATTCAATAAAAATCTTTCTCAAACGTGAGCTTTATTTGAGACTTATGATCTGAAATTGAGACTTTTCAAAGTCTCTACTTGAGATTTTTAAATGTCTCAAGTTAAAACTTTCAAGTCTCAAATTGAGACTTTTGAAATTCTCAACTGAAGACGTTAAGACTTCAAATTAAGACTTGAAAATCTTACTTTGAAATGTTTAACAACTTAAAATAATGTCTTATTTTTTCGTTGTATGGAATTGTAATTACAATTACTTTTAACAGAATTTCAATAGAACTCCAATGCAACTCTATAGAAAATTCTTTTGGAAACTACATTTAGAAATCATTTTATTTTTATTTTTTCCTATTAAGAATATGAATCAAGAAAACTTGGAAAATTTGAGACGAGAAAAATCGATAGAAAATAGCTCGATAGAATAAGTTGCATAGAGAAATCACATTCCATTGACTTTTTCTGTAGAATACTTTGTATTGAACATTTCAATAGAATCGGTCAAACACTAGTAGAAAATTCAATAAAAATCTTTCTCATACGTGAGCTTTATTTGAGACTTATGATCTCAAATTGAGACTTTTCAAAGTCTCTACTTGAGATTTTTAAATGTCTCAAGTTAAAACTTTCAAGTCTCAAATTGAGACTTTTGAAATTTGCTCGGCTCAAATTTTCAGTTTTTTTCACTCCATTTTTCTTTTGTTCTCGTCAAGAGAATCAAACAGAAAAAGAGAAAATTTGAGGCGGGGAAATTCTATAGAACATATCCCAATAGAATAAGTTATACAGGAAAATCGAATTTGGGCCCGGTTGCACCAAACCCTATTATTCAACTAAACCCCAGGGTAAAATTTACCCTGGGGGTCAATAATACCGTAGGAGTCATAACGTATCAATATTCGACCCGAAGAATAATTTTTTATTTATCCTGTAGCCCCACTTGAATTAACCCTGATTTAACCTTGCGATTAAATTTTATTTTATGTCCCTGGGCTAAATTTGAGATACTCCCCCGGGTAAAATAATCCATCGAACATCCAAATTTCCTTTTTTTATCTGACGTTACTAGGTTTTTCTACCAATTTTTTTCGTCCGCGTGCCCCTTGAAAATAAAATAAAACCAAATATTTCAGGTTGTCACAGCCCAGCTGACTCCCGGCCTCCTGGAGGTCGGTTTGATCGAAGTAGGCAGACTGCATCTTCCCCCGAGCGCATTCCCAGCCGAAGAGCTATCGCAAGTCGACGTCTACTGCACCATCAGCGTCGACTCCACCCCCTGGGTATACCTGACCCAGTACGGAGGAGTTCCCTACATGGTGCTAGACCTCATAATCAGCAAGCCAAGTTCCCACCAGCTCGGGGTCGTCTTCAAGCAAGAAGTGATCCCCGAAATCGGCCAGACCTGCGTCGTAGTCGAGACTATAGTCTCCGGGAGTCCAGCAGCAATCGCAGAGATGAAAAAGTCCGACATTCTCGTCTCCGTCGATGGTAAGAAAATTTCGAACATGACGCAAGTGGGAAAACTGGTGAAGAGTGCAGCCCAGCGGAGGTTCATCATCAGAGTTGAACGAAGATATCTGAAATTCGATGGCGAAAAGCCCCACGTAAAGCCAGAAACTGAGAGGACGTTGATAAACGCCGATAAAAAAATTAGAAATGAACTGAATGTCGAGAGTCAAGTGAAATTCTCCGATCTGAGGGACTCCGGGGACTTCGAGGGCTCGGAAAAATCAGACGGTGGGATCAAACTGTTCAGAAGACGGAAGAGCAGTTTTCAAGTGTCCGACGACTTTGTTCCCATCCCCGACACTCCGTCCAGAAGAATATCAACCACTTCTACTCACTCGACGTCCAGCAATCCCGTCATCAGTGGTGATGATTTCATGGCCCCTTGCCTCAGTGAACTGTACTCGACAACCAGCGAAAAGAGTTATGCGTCGCTGATCAATTTCGAGGAGACGAGAAATTTTCGGATTGATAATGAACTGCAGTATTTGAATATCGGGGTCTGGGCCAAGGGTCGGGGGAGGGAGATGCCGCCGAAGATTATTGGGTACATCAATACTCCTATTAAACTTATTCTTGCTCAGTGCTCCACTAATACTACTGGGCATTACTTGAAGTGTCAGGCCCTTCTGCCACCTGATACAGGTAATTCGTGATTTTTTTTTTACTGAAAAGTATTGATCCGTCGTTGGATTATTTACGTAACTTCATTTGATTTAAGAGAACTTCTATTTGATTTAAAAGAAAAACCGAGCGAATTCGTAGGCAATTCTATTGGATGTCCATTGAATTTTCTATTAGTTTTTATATTCCATAGAAAATATTTCAACGAAATAGGTTGTATGCAAAAATTGAATTCTATTGACTTTTTCTAGAATATTTTCTACTGAAATTTCAATAAAAACGGCCAAACTTTTTTAGAGAGTATGAATAAGATTTGACATTTTTCACATATTTTTATTTGATTTTTTTAATGAGAAGAGAAAGAAAATGTATTTTAAAAAATTAAAAAAACTTGTGTTGAGGAATTTTTATGGAAAATGTCTGAATCGAAACTTTCATAGTAATTTTTATTCAGATTATTTTTGAATTAAACCCACTTTTTTTAAATTTCAGCATCGAGTTTCAATTCAAAACTGCAGGGATATTCTGGTTTCGATCCCACTCTCTGCTATGGAGACATCCTTCTGTCTTATGACTGGGTGTCTAGTGAACCTCAGAGGAGGAACACAAGTGCCGACATCAAGAAGGAAACTGGAACACCGAAGCATGTGCCGCACATTAGCGAAATCGCTGATAAAAAGCCTCATGATTTCATTCGAACGCATTTCCATCGGGCAACACACTGCGACTTTTGTTCGAAAAAGGTAGATATTGGACTCATCATCGAATGCGTATTTGATTTTCAATTATATGCGAATGCATTTTACTTAAATTCTAGTGAGATTGGAAATCGCTTAAAGTTCTATTGATCAGTCCTGATTCCCGTGAAGAATTCAATAGTTTTTATGGGTGATTTTTATCGAAATATCAAGTAAAATTTTACTAACGAAATGTTGATTTTACCCAGAGAAGTTTTTTTGCTGAGAGTTTTTTATGAAAATGGCTGGGCAGGAATTTTTCAATTTTTTCCTTGAGTTTTTTAATGCGAGAAGAAATTTAGAAAAGTAAATTAAATAGACAAATCGAGATTTATCAATACTTTCAGGTAATAAAATTTCTACGAATATTTCCGTGAAAACCACGCGGAGAAACACCTAAATATTTCATCAAAATCGGCATAAGAATAGAAAATTAAAAAAAAAATAGAAATAGAGTAGGAAATATAATTTCAAAATAGACTCTAACAGAGTTCCAATAGAATTTCGTAAGGAAATACACTGGGATTTTTGTATATTTTAATTTCATATCCGTAAAACTTTTCGAAAAAACTTGAAATTCTTGAATTTCAATGATATAAGGATTTTTTTTTGTAAATATCAAGATCCTCCAGTCGAATTCCATTTTTTTAACTGACTAAAACTGGAAGTTCAGTGTTGAAAAAAGTTGCAATTTTATAAACAATTTAGATTCAAGAGGGGAAATCTCAGAAAATTTGAAATTTACTGAAAATCTCACTTCAACTTCCTTGAATGAAATTATGATGCATTTTCAAATTATTGAATAGTCAAGCGTACATTTACCAGAATTTTCCTGAATTTCTGTTGATTTTCACTGAATAATTGGGCTGAAATTAACAGTCTCTTTCGATTTGTTCATCAAATTGTGAATTTTCAATCAATAATCAAATTCCTCGAAATTCCAGTAGAACTGTCGCTGAATAAAAATTTTCAAGAACCCACTCAAAAAAATCAAACTAGGAATCTCTATTAAATTTCTGTTGTACTTCTATTGAGACAGTGCCTGTAGAAATTACTCGACATAAATTTTCCGAGTATTCTCCAGTTCATTTTCCTTCAGTTCTTTCCGCAAAAAAATGAATTAAAAAACTAAGAAAATTTATGTCAAGGAATTTCTACAAAAAAAATGTCAATAGACTGAGCTGTCTAGAAAAATCAAATGATATTCATTTTCTCTATAAAATGTTTTCGATTGAACATTTTCTATTGATAAAAAACAAGCAGAAACTGTGGAATTTTGCAATCGAATTTTCAATAGGAATTTTTCAGCTAATTCTCTAGTTTTTTCTAACAAATTTTAAAAGTGACTCGCAGGGAAGTATTTCTTTGTCCATATTCCGAGACATTCATAGATGGAACGAATTAATTTCGTCGGCCTTTGTATTTACCCCAGAGCGACATGAAAATAAAAAAAAATGATCTTGAAAAAAAAATAATACGTCTGCAAAATAAATTTAGAAAGCTTTCGATTACGCCCGAATATTTTCTCTCTTTCATCTCAGATCTGGCTGAAAGACGCAGTGCAATGTCGTGACTGCGGAATGGTCTGTCATAAAAAGTGCGAAGCACGTTGCCAAGCATCTGGAAATTGTGGCGCAGAGAGCCTGGCGACAATGGCCTTTGAGGTAGAGGAAGCAGAAACAGCAGTCAGCATTGGCGGTGATATGGGACCCGAGATATCACTGACCAGTTGCGAAGAAAACGTTCAGGTACTAAACACATAGTACAAAACACTTCCATAGAAAACATTTCAATCAAAGTCTGCAATTACGATCTCTCCTAATTTAAACAGCTGATTAAGAGCATTACTGTGTTTATTTATTTATTAATTTATTTATGTTTATTTATTTATTTAATAGCCATTTGTTATCATTTACCGATAATAATTTTTATAAAAAACGAATTTTTATTCATTTGCGCATGAACTTTGAAATAAATAAATGGATAAATAAACAATCCGAGTATCGTATTTGATCGTTAATGTAAAACTAGAGGATAAAATTGAATGCGTCCACTGACAATTCAACAATCGACTGATAACGATGTAAATATAGTTTGAGAAATGAAAAACATGTCAGATTTATTTATATTTGTTTTCATTTCTTTTAAAAAACCCTATTGATAATAACAATCAGTAGATTTTATTGATTGATGCATTCTTGGGGTCAAGATGGTGATTTTCAACAGCGGAAATGAAATAATCAAAGAATTAATTAAGCTTTGGTGAGGAAATAAATGTATTAACAACATGTGGAAAACGTTGATCGTTATAATCAGGGAATGATGGCAGTCAAGGCCAGTATAGCAAATACTCTGCTGGGATTGAAGAAAGCCGGAAGCACCAGTTGTCTAGCACCACCGACCTCGGGGGGTGGTGGAGGATCGCGAAGTCTACCCCCAAGTCCCTGCTCATCCCGCAAGGTAGACCTTTCACTCTTGGAATTTTTCATTTTTTTGTGGATGAAAATATTCGATGGAAAATCTAACGCATTCGTTTTTTGACGCTTGGTGTTCTGCATTAAGACTTTATCTCTAGGGGTGTCCGGTTAGTGCATCCCAGGCCGATTCATCTCACAAACTCATACTATGATAAGTTATGCCAAATATTTCGTCTCAACACGTATGAAATTTAATAGAAAAACCGAGCGAATTCGATAGAGAGTTCTATTGGATTTTTGTTGAAGTTTTTATTGGTTTTTGGCCGATTCTATTGAAATCAGGGATCCCCATCAATATTAAATTTTTGTAATATTTCACAAATTTGACTCTTATATTACTGAAGGGTAAAATATGTTGATTCAATTTTTCCAATAGTATAATATTAATAACCTGATTTTTACGAATAATGAAATATTTAAAATTTGTTAATATGCAATTGTAAATTTACAACTAAGTGAGTAATTCAAATTTTTTGAAAGGGGGTTTTTCGATTACACAAGTAATCGTCAATCTTCCCACCTTAAATTATTGATTGATAACATAGTTAAAAATTTGAATATTTAAATTGATGATATTTAATTACTGAAAAAATTACAAGGTTGATGTTTTTCAATTTAAGGGCTCCAAAAGTAATCGTAATAAAATATTACAAATTTGGCTATCCCTGATTGAAATGTTCTATAGAATGTCCTTGGCTCAAATTTTCTAGGGATAGTTCTCACTATTAGGACGAAAATTTAATTTTTGTGAAAGATATTATTAAATTTCCTTCTATCAAGTTGGATAATTTCCTTCAAGTAAATCTGTCCCACTCCATGAAATATTCTCGCGTCGAGCATATAGTTTTTCGATAGAGCAAATTTTTTCTCAGCGCAGTTTTGCCTAGAAATTTTCAGATCGATGTCGTAAGAAAATATCAATACAAGTTGATTTTTCTGTGAAACTTATTCTATTTCAATACATTCATGAGGAATTAAGCAAAGTAAAGTGAAAAAACTAGGAAAGTTTATGCTCAAAATTTTTATAGAAAATTCTCAAAAGAATAACTAAATTTTTCCAATAGTAATTTTTCCAATAATTTGTGTCCAAGAATGCCATTGAATTATTGGACATAAACCAGAAAAGTTTATGCCCAAGATTTTACATTTGAAAAATCTCCAAAGAACACATAAATTTTTCCAGTAGGAATTATTCCAATAATTTGTGTCCAATAATTCAATCGAATTCTTGGACATAAACCAGGAAAGTTTGTCTCCCAGATTTTCTATAGGAAAAATCTCAAAAGAAAAAGTACATTTCCAATAGAATTCGCCATTCCCAGAGAACTTCAATGGAATTCTACCAGAAATTCAATAGAATTTCCCAGCGAAAGCGCTGGATTTTTCTGTTGTTTTGTTTTCATACGTCTTCATTACGTCCATTCCTAAGTCTTCGAAACATTCTCATGGCATTTCCAGTGATTTCTGCGAGTCTTCATCCCATTAGTCAATTCAGTACACAGTAGTAAAACAATTCGGATTGACATAGAACATCTACTTCATTACACAATCGAGTGTTCAAAGTAGTATGAACATACCCCAGTTGAGTCTTGAGGGTAACGAAGATGAATCAATTCCAAATGCCCATAAAAAGATTCAGATTAAGATTCAGGTGTGTTCATACTACTATTTTAACACCTGTAGCGACACAGAGAAAAAAGTTTGTGATTTCCAGTACTCAGGTCAGAAAAATCTTATAGGAAATGTTCAAATTCTCCATAGGATTTCCTGTAAAAAATTCCTATAGGATTTCTTATAGGAATTTCCTATAGGATTTCTTGTAGGATTTCTTATAGGATTTCCTATAGGATTCTATAGGATTTCCTATCGGAAATTCCTATAGGATTATAGAATTCCTATAATCCTATAGGAAATATTCAAATTCTCCATAGGATTTCCTACAGGGAATTCTATAGGAAAACAAAATTTCCTATAGGAAATTTCTATGGGTTTTCTTATAGGAAATTCCTATAGGATTTCTTATAGATTTCTTATAGGATTTCCTATAGGATCCTATAGGATTTCCTATCGGAAATTCCTATAGGATTATAGGATTCCTATAATCCTATAGGAAATATTCAAATTCTCCATAGGATTTCCTACAGGAAATTCTATAGGAAAACAAAATTTCCTATAGGAAATTTCTATGGGTTTTCTTATAGGAAATTCCTATAGGATTTCTTATAGGAAATCCCTATAGGATTTCTTATAGGAAATTCCTATAGGATTTCTTATAGGAAATTCCTATAGAATTTCTTATAGGGAATTTCTATAGGATTTCTTACAGGATTCCTATAGAATTTTTTCATACGTCGTATGTCGACAATTTGTCCACAAATTGCCGATGTCCTGTTAAATTTTAGATGCCACTGGCATAAATTGTTTTCTGGAACGGATTGAAAAATTTCCAACAGCAATAAATTTAAATCATAGCGAAATAATTACAAAATCGATCAGTCTCTTCAAAATAAACCATCACTGCCATCAGATTGTTCTATCATTCGCACAAAAGCTTTTAGTTGAAACAACAAATGTCAAAATTCTCAGCTTCTCTGTGGCATGTTCACCATCTATCATTGATAGAATTTCGTCAATTTAAATTGGTAAGTAAATGTTGAATTGATTCAAATAATCTGAACTAATCTCGATGGAAAAAACTGGACTAGAAGCAATAGTGCGGTAATGTTCTTCCGTCTGCACGAGTTTGTCGCTCTCTGCTTCCACGATTGTAATGAAACTTGAAATTTCTTTACAAAAATACGCAGAACTCACTGATTGGAGGACTGGGCATAAGTAGTGATTTATTTGAGGGTGCAGAGCCAAGCGTCGCATCGCCCCTGATTTCGGGTGAATTAGACGAAGGTCTTATGTCTCGTGCCAAAGAAACTGGAAAATTTTTATTCAAAGATTTACAAGCCGAGGAGAGAATTGAGAAAATTAATTCAATGGTGAGAACTTGAGAAGGAGGGGGAGGAAGTATTCAGTGGTGGAGTGGTTATTTTACAGATTTCAAACAGGAGATTTTAGAGAAGTGTAATAGAGGACCTTTTTATTGTCAATTATATGGACGACAGAGACGGTTAAAAGACATTTTTGGAAACGAGGAGAAAAATCTGTTGAGAATTATCCTTGAATTTTTTATAAGAGCTCTACCCGCACGGAGAAGTTTAGTAGAAAATCCTAGCTAATTCGCTAGACAATTCTATTGGATTTCCACTGAACTTTCAATGTTCACACATTTTTAATTTAAATGTTTGAATGTTTAATAGAAAATACTCGTTTTTATTTAAATGTTTAACAGAGAATATTCTGTAGAAAAAACCAATGGAATTCGATTTTTCTGTGCAATTTAATCTATTGAGATATTTTCTATAGAATTTCCTCGGCTCAAATTTACTGGTTTTTTACCACACGAAAAAATTCCATTCTGTTTTCCGCCAGATTTATCTCTCCCTCTATAATCTGCAAAATTTCCTCTCATTCTTCACTACTCCACTGCCGAATCCAGAACAATAAATTGCCTCAACTAATTCCACAAATTTCTTCGCATTTGTTGACGCAGATGGGGAAATTGAAAGCGGCACTTGACGTAGAAACTACCTCAAGAGTAGAACTATCTCAATCCACTGACATTGACAGTGTTAAATTGATAACACAGAGTGACCTGCGAGTCCAGGGACTCTCCGTATTATTATTGCATTACTGCGCCGGTTTGCAGCACGCCCAAGAGCTCCAGAATCGGCCTGAAGTCAAAAGCGAGCCGCAAGAGACAAAAAGAGAATAATTCAGATAAAAAATGTTTATCCGTTGAATTGCCTTAAATTCTTTTCTAGCAGAATTATCAACAGAATGGTCAATACTTGAGGCAATTACTATAGTTCAATTTTTTTAAATAAATCTGCTGCCAATCCAACTGTTGCCGTTTCTGGTATTCATTAAAGAATGATTAATCCATCATTTTTCAAAGAATCAATGTAGTTACGCATTTTTGATCTTTTTGCTTCGAAATAATTGTACGAATTTACACATGCCAATGTCTGCACATGTCAATTTTAATATAATACTTAATATCATACTCGTAATCGTGCACTGACCAACAAAATGAACTAGTACCGTAATTCTAGGTGAAAAAAATCAAACATGAAAATTAAAAAATTTGAAAAAAGTCATATTAACAGTTAATCAGAGAACACCAAATGCAAGACTCAAAAATGATGTTCACGAGGATGTCTTAGATGTTGCAAGGTTGTGATAAAAAATAGATGAATAACAGATATATTGAAAAAATTGACAACATCCAGACACTGTACCCATGATCGACGTAATTAGGAAATTATTATATATATATACAATACGATATTTATGCTTAATGTTATTCATGAAGATGTATATGATGCTTTAACCGTACTGGCCGTTCAAATAGCCATCGAATTGAGGAAATGTGAATTATTATCAAATTTATTTGTTAGAATGGAAAATCAAAAATTGTCATCATAAATTACGCACTGCAGATGTTTATTCGGAATTATGTATCATTATTGGGGTGTATCGTTATTTTGTTGTATTTCAATAAAATGATTACATTCGAAAAATACTTTAGATCGGCATCGAACGTTATTTAATTCATCTTGACCGAGTTTGATCATGAGATTGATTGCATTATCTGCTGTTATAAAAAATTATTTTTAAACGAATATTTGGGGAAAGGTAAAAAAAATTTACGTTGGGGCAATGTTGGCTGCCGACATTGGGGCGACGTTGGCTGTCAACGTAGGGGCAATGTTGGCTGCTAACACTGGGGGAATGTTGGCCAACATTGAGGCAATGTTGGCTGCCAACATTAGGGTAATGGTGGCTGTCAAGGTTGGGGCAATGCTGGCTGCCAACATTGAGGCAATGTGGGCTGCCAACATTGAGGCAGTGTTGGCTGCCAACATTAGGGTAATGCAGGCTGTCAAGGTTGGGGAAATGTTGACTGTCAACATTGGGGCAATGCTGGGTCAATGTTGGCTTCCAACGTTGGGGCAATGTTGTTTGTCAACATTGGGGTAATGTTGGCTCCCAACTCTGGGGAAGTATTGGCTACAAACACTGGGGCAATGTTTAGCTACCAATGTCGGGTGAATGTTGGCTACCAACATTCAGGCAATGTTAGCTTCAAACATTGACTACCAATACTGGGACAATGTTGGCTACCAGCATTAGAGTAATGTTAGTTATCAATGTTGGGGTAATGTTGGCTGTCAACATTGGGGTAATGTTGGCTCCCAACGCTGGGGAAGTATTGGCTACTAACACTGGGGCAATGTTTAGCTACCAATGTTGGGTCAATGTTGGCTACCAACATTCAGGCAATGTTAGCTTCAAACATTAACTACCAATACTGAGACAATGTTGGCTACCAGCATTGGGGTAATGTTGATTATCAATGTTGGGGTAATGTTGGCTGTCAACATTGGGGTAATGTTGGCTTCCAACGCTGGGGAAGTATTGGCTACTAACACTGGGGTAATGTTGGCTATCAATGTTGGGGTAATGTTGGCAGCCAACATTGTGGCAATTCGCCAACATTGGGGTATTGTTGGCAACCAACGCTGGGGCAACGTTAGCTGCCAACGTTGGGACAATATTGACTACCAACGTTGCGACAACGTTGAATTCAAAGAATTATTGAATTCAATTTAAAATATATCGTCATAGAAATTCCATTCAGAAGCAAATAGCTACTTCATGAACAATTTATTTTTCAATTCTTCCATAAAATCGTAGGAAAAAACAAAGCGGAAAGTTTTGTGATCTTCTAAGGGATCCTCCAAGTGACCAGGAACCGGCGCGATGGCCAACAACTGGGTTTGCTCCCTTATTCAAACAATAAAACATGTATACTTCGCGCACGAATTCTGAGAATGAAAAATAAAAATAAAACACGTGGAAAAGACGCAAAACGATGCCAGAGATACAAAGGAGCCAACGAACTAAGCGAAATGTACACAGAGACGGGAAAATTGCTCTGTTTCTTTCCATCGACGGCGCTGTCCAAGGTTGTCCAATTTCGACGCGGAAATTCGCACAGCCCACGTCAGCGCACCAAATGCGTGAGAAAACTCATGGATTCTGACTTCGAAACATGATCGTTCCATATTGTGAATCCAATCCTATAACCAGGTACTGAAAAATCTCGAAAATTTTTAATAAGTGAAATTTCCATTGAAATTTCAGGGAATCTCGCCGTTGAAAAATTACAATTTAATGAAAAAATCTGTTAAAATTATGAATTTTAGTTGATTTACTCAAAGCTTTACGCACGAGAATTTACTTTACGCACGTCGCACCGAGAATAAACACTTTACGGCCGCTGAAGTGTCCTAAAAAGTGATCTTTTCAGGCAGGTATTGTCTAAATCGTATATTTCACGTGCTAGTCGTATTGACTATTTTGGAATTTTTAGGTCAACGAAGTGGAAAACGGTTGTACAAACCTAATCTAGGGAACATGAAATCTGAACGATATGGACTCTCTAGAATCATTTTATCCCAACATTTGAGGAAAAAAATTTTGTTTGGCACATACGACCTTTTTCTACAAATTTTTCTGTAATATAAATTTCTCTAAAAGTACGACCGAATATCGGAACAATAAAGAGAAAACAGTGAGATTTTTTTTCCATTTTTCCACTATTGCAGAAATATTTGTGAAAAAAGGTCGTATGCGCCAAAAAATACGACTTTTTTCCACTTAACACGCGATTTGATCACTTGTGCGTAAAGTGAAGTTTTCGGCACGCTCTGCGTGCGCAAAATTCCGCTTTCCACACATTACGATGAAATGTTTAGGTTTCTCTATTATTTTTTTTGTGCGTGCACACCTGTCTGATCTATTCCTCATTCCCACTTTTCATGAAATAAGTAAAGAGAAAGAACGTTTCGGAAAATCTAAAAATAAGATGAAAAGGAAAAGTGCACAAGTCATGGGGGATTTTATTGGGAGGTCTTTCTATTTTCGTTGGCCAAAATCACGCGCAGTAATCTTTTGGATAAGGTCCAACATATACCGCTCGTATATGATAAACAATTTCGTCCGTGTTTGGCTTTGGTTATGCCCCATTCCAATGAACAGTTTATTTAAAAAATATTGATTTCTCTCCACGATTCAAAAAGCATTATGATTCTTGCGGTGTTTGAAAATGTTACTGTCATGAGTTGAAGCCAAGGATAGATGAAGAGTTCCGCGAGGTATGACCCTGATATGAAGATACGTTCGATAAGACATCTGCTCAGTCCGTTGGAGGTCAAATTCATAAATCCCTGAATTATTTCCCAACGCACTCCTGTTAAATTATTATATTTGGCACCGAACTTCGACGATTTGGAAATCAGTTCATATTCAAAACTTTATGCATGAAAAAATTCCATAGGAAAACAGAAATTTTTTGCTGGAAAATTTTATTGCATTAGAAAAAAACAAGCTTTATTGTGAGAGGTATGATTGCAAATTGAAACTTATCAATTTGCGTCAGTCAATTTGCGTAAGTCAAATTGGGATTTTCAAATGTTTTAAATTGAGACTTTGAAAAGTCTCAAGTTTTTTTTTTTTTTTTTTTTTTTTTTTT